CCCCCCCGATGAGGTTCCCAGACGAGGACTTCACCATCAGGGAACTAAAACACGCAATCAATGCAACGACCAGGCGCCGCACGGCGCCGGGAGCAGACAGAGTGACGTCGCAGGCAATCAAGAACCTAGTCGCGGACTCCCTCGCCTCTCTCCTCAAGATCTACAATGAACTATGGCGCACAGCGGACATTCCCGACGACTGGAAGGAGGCCACTATCATACCACTTCTCAAGCCGGGCAAACCGGGCGAGGACCCGAAGTCGTACCGGCCGATCTCTCTGACGTCTTGCCTCGGCAAGACGTTGGACAGAATGGTAAACAAACGGCTCCTCTACCACCTCGAGGAAACACACGCCCTGCCCGATTGTTTCTCCAGCTTCAGACCGGGAAGGTGCACAGCTGACGCCATCGGGGATCTGATCAGTTCACTGGAGGAGGCGAGGGAGTGCGGCGAGTCGGCGGTAGTTGTGCTATAAGCGTATAACAGCGGCGCACGTGCTGCAGACTGGCGCGATGAAGGAAGAGGAAGAATAAACGTTCTCGCTCGTGTGTTCAGCCTGGCTGGTCGATATCTCGTATTTGTCCGTTCCCACCCCGGGATAGCCGAACACAACATGGTGGCAGCGCAAGTGGATTTATTTCAAACGAAACCACGTCACTGAAAAATTCTGGACGACGGTGCTACCGATGAGCCGGGGGCTACAGGGGATTCCTCCAGGTTGAGCCCCAGCGTTCCAACTGAAATGGCGTCTCCATTCCTAACATGCCAACCACCGGAAGAGTTTGACTTTTCAAAGTCAGGAGACTGGCCCCGGTGGATTCGAAGGTTTGAGAGATTTCGGATGGTCAGTGGGTTGCAAGCGAAAACAAGCGTCGAACAGGTGAATGCCCTTATTTACACTATGGGAGATAAAGCGGAAGACGTCTTGCTTTCATTGAGTTTAACCGAGGAGCAAATGACGCAGTATGATGTGGTGCGCAAAGCGTTTGAGGACCACTTCCTAGTTCGACGAAATTTGATCTACGACAGGTCAAAATTTCATTCAAGGATACAAGAAGACGGCGAACCTGTTGAACAATTCTTGACCGATCTTCACGCTTTGGCTAAATACTGTAAGTTTGGCACTCTGCACTACGAGATGATTAGAGATCGTATTGTTGTAGGCGTCAGAGATCACAAACTGTCCGAAAAAATGCTGTTAGACGCCAACTTGACTTTGGAAACAGCAACTACTATGGCCAGACAGTCGGAAACAATCAAGGGACAGCAGGCCGAACTTCGACCTACCGACAGCGTGAGTCGGGTAAAGGCTATCCGTCCATCAAAAGATCCTCCTTCTCACAAGAGGGCCCTTACTCAAGAAATTCGGGATGCAACCAACGACCGCCACTGCCTTGGATGTGGGCGAAATCGGCACGCAAGAAATGAATGTCCAGCCAGGAGTGCAATATGTCGCAACTGTGGCAAGCCGGGACATTTCGCGAAAATTTGTTTATGCTCGAAAGTTGTTCAAGAGCTTATCGTCGAAGACGAAGACATCTCTTTTCTCGGGACTGTGGTCGCCAAAGACACAGAACCATGGACGGTTATCGTGAAGGTCTACGATGTCTCTCTGTCTTTCAAGATTGACACTGGAGCCGACGTCACGGTAATTTCCGAAGCCGTGTACAATCAACACTTTGGACATGCCCCTTTGACTGGACCGACGAAGTGCTTAAGGGGACCTGGTCAAGACAAGCTGCACGTTGTTGGAGTCCTGCATGCTGATATAGCGTTTCGGACGAACAAGGTGACCACTGACATCTATGTCCTGAAGAATCTCGAACTCCCTCTCTTGTCAAGACGCGACAGCGAGAAGTTGGGTGTGGTCAAGAGACTCAATGAAGTGTCCACTTCCAACTACAGAACAGTCAATGCTAAAACTGAGTTCGCTTCGCTGTTGACGGGCCTTGGTTGCGTGAAAATGCCCTACAAGATAAGGTTGCGCCAAGATGCTGTACCTTTTTCTTTGGCATCACCAAGAAGGATTCCAATACCCCTCATGGACAAGGTGAAGTCGGAGTTCGAAAGCATGCTTCAACGTGACGTCATAGAACCCGTTGAAGAACCAACTGACTGGTGCTCCCCCATGGTAGTAGTCAGAAAACCCAACGGAAACTACAGGATCTGCGTCGATGTCACATCGTTGAACAAGTACGTTGAGAGAGAACTTCATCCCCTTCCTGTCACCGATCACATTCTCGCACAACTGGGAAACGCAAAGTTCGTCTCGAAGCTTGACGCGAATTCCGGCTTCTGGCAGTTTCAACTAGCGCCAGAATCGCAAATCCTGACGACCTTCATTACTCCTTTCGGGAGGTTTAAGTTCAAACGACTTCCGTTTGGTATCACGTCCGCACCGGAGTTCTACCAGAAGAAAATGAGCCAACTCTTGAGTGGCATCCAGGGCCATGTGTGCAACATGGATGACATCTTTGTGTACGGCTGATCCAGGGAGGAACACAACCAGAGACTAAGAGAAGTCCTTTCAAGGCTACAGCAAGGGGGAATAACGCTAAACGACACCAAGTGCGTTTTGAGGCAACCCGAGTTAAGTTTCTTGGTCACGTCATTGATCAAACTGGGATCCATTCCGACGAGGAAAAGCTTGAAGCGATCAAGACGATGAAAGCACCAACGAACGTCAGCCAACTCAAGAGCTTTCTGGGCATGACAAACTACCTCGGGAAATTTGTGCCACATTTAGCAGAAAAAGCGCATCCCCTCACGGCGCTTCTGAGCTCTAAGAACGAATGGGCTTGGGAACATCAACAGAAAGCTTTTGACACCATCAAAGTAGCGCTGACTTCAACCCCAGTATTCGCTTCATTTGATCCCAAGAAACTGACGGTTATCTCGGCGGACGCCTCATCCTACGGCATCGGAGCAGTACTACGACAGAAGCAGACAGACAACACATACCGTCCAGTAGCTTATGCGTCAAGAACCCTCAATGAGACGGAAAGGCGCTACGCGCAGATAGAAAAAGAAGGTTTAGCTGTTGTGTGGAGCTGCGTAAAGTTCCGTGACTACATCACCGGATTGAGAGTCGTGATAGAGACAGACCACAAGCCGTTGGTCCCGATCTTCTCAACAAAGTGTCTGGAAGACATCCCGGTGAGATTGCAGCGAATGAAACTACGCATGATGAGATACAGCTACGACACCAGGCATATCCCAGGCAAAAACCTCGTCGCCGCTGATGCCTTGTCAAGACACCCTCTAGCTGAAGTTCCAGAAAGAGAACTGGAAGATGAGATTGACGCATACGTTCGCGGCATCACCTCTAATTTACCTGCTACAGGCAAGAGATTATAGCAAATAGAGGAAGAACAAACAAAAGACCACGTTTGTCAGCTCTTATTACGATACTGTGCTGAAGGATGGCCTGACAAAAACAAAGTAGACCTAACATGTCAAATGTTTTGGCAATACAGAAATGACATCTCCATGAACCAAGGACTTCTAATGAAAGGGTCGAGGATCCTTGTGCCTCAGTCCACGAGACGAGACATCCTGGACAAAATACACCATGGACACCAGGGCATCACCAAGTGCAGAGGACGCGCACGCGAATCTGTCTGGTGGCCTGGGATATCAACGCATATTGAAAACGAAGATGCCCTTAGTGCATACAGGAAACAAGTAACAGACGAGAACCGCTAATTCCAACGCCCTTCCCAGAAAGACCATGGCAACAAGTCGGCATGGACCTATTTTACCTCTCAGGAAAGTGGTACTTGCTCGTCACCGACTATTACTCAAGATTCCCAGAAGTTGCGCCACTCACAAGTCTGTCGACCGCATCTGTAATTGACCACCTGAAATCGATCTTCGCCAGACACGGCACACCAGAAACAATATTTAGTGACAATGGACCACAATTCCAAAAACTCGACTCATCCCAATTTCATATATTTTCTCAAGACTGGGGCTTCCACAACAAGACTTCCAGCCCGAGATACCTACAAAGTAACGGCTTTGTGAAGTCAGCCGTCAAAATAATCAAACGTAGCTGGAAAAAGACAGATGACGCCTACCGCGCACTCCAAGCCTACCGGGCCACCCCTCTTGAAAACGGCTACAGTCCAGCGGAACTTTTGATGGGGAGACGTATAAGAAAGTTACTCCCTACGATTGGATGCAGTTTAATGCCAGCGATTCCTAATCGCGAACTTCTAAAGAAGTGGGAGGAAAACAACAAAGCAAAACAAAAAATGAACTTTGACAGAAGACACGGCACCCGACCGTTGAAACCACTGCAAACTGGTCAGCGCGTATGGATCTCAGACCAGAGACGAGCGGGTCATATTACATCTCCTTCGGAGGCGCCACGCTCATACCTGGTTGAGAGCGACCGGGGAGTTATAAGGCGAAACCGACTACACTTGGTTCCCGTACCAGCCCCCTCTTCACCTGAGGAAGCCGTACCACAAGGACCACTACCCGCTTCCGAGATCCCGGCGTTCATTCCCAGAACATCTTTGGGACTTCCAATAACACGCAGTGGTCGTACTCTAAAACCTATCGATAGGCTAGGTTTTTAAATTAAGGGGAGATGTGCTATAAGCGTATAACAGCGGCGCACGTGCTGCAGCCTGGCGCGATGAAGGAAGAGGAAGAATAAACGTTCTCGCTCGTGTGCTCAGCCGCGCTGGTCGATATCTCGTATTTGTCCGTTCCCACCCCGGGATAGCCGAACACAACAGTAGCCATCCTGCTGGACATCAGGCAAGCCTTTGACGCCATCCCTCACGCTACAATCATCGGGGCTCTGCGGCGACTGGGAGTTGTCGGCCGCCCGCTCAAATACATCAAGGCCTTTCTCGCCGGACGTACATCGCGAGTGAAGGTGGGGAATCACTGCAGTCTACCCAAAACAACAACAGGAGGTGTCCCTCAGGGCAGTGTGTTGAGTCCCCTCCTTTTCTGCGCGGCAATCTCCTCGCTGCCCCAGGGGATGCAACGCGACCAATACTCGGAACACGAGATCCACATGGCTGTCTACGCGGACGATGTGGCACTGTGGACGGTCTCAACACCGTACAAGAGAAAGAAGACCGTTGAGGAGCTCCAGCGAGTCCTCAACAACGTCGTCTATCATCTCAAACAACTGGGACAGGAAGTATCCGCGGAAAAAACTAACTTCATAAAGTACGCGGAAAAAACAAGACGTTTCCAGCCCAAAATCTTCATAAACAACAAGCAAGTAAACAGGAAGAACATCATGACTTACCTGGGGATGCAGCTCGACTCGCGGTTATCCTTTGGACCGGCGGCGACCCAGGCGGTGAGGGGAATGCGGCAGCATACTAATATCCTCCGGAGGCTCTGCGGCAACTCGTGGGGCACATCACAAACCATGATGTTGCAGTTGTATCACGGTCTGGTACTGTCACGCCCCCTCTACGCACTCCCCCTGGCCTCACTGATGCCGAGACACCTGGAGATGCTCGAAAGAGCCCAAAGGGTGGCACTGCGGATCTGCCTCGGGATCCCAAGGGGAGCACCATCACAGCCGACACTCGTCGAGGCGAACGCGGCCACAGTCGAGCACCAGCTGGAGCATCGCGCGTTGAGACACCTCATCTGAATGAGCGGCTGCACGTCAACCACTTCACTGCTGCAGAGCATCCGAGGGAGACCGGAGTCGGAGCTGGGACAGATGCTACACAGGCTGGACGAGATCGTAGGCAAACCACCACCACTGCCACCACTCCCAGCGCTGCATCACGGCCCGGAGCCGCTCCGGGTTGCCCTCGGAGTGGAGGGGATGACGTCCCGAAGAAGGGTCAACGCTGCGGTGGCGAGGCAGCTGACCGAACACCATCTGGAGCACAGCTACCCGGGCTGCAAAAGAGTCTACACAGACGGCTCGGTACGGCCGTCTGACGGATCATCCACGGCTGCAGTGGTGCTGGAAGACGGCAGGCGGAGTCTCAGCGGCAAGCTCGGCTTCTATGCGTCGAGCACGACGGCGGAGCTCGCGGCGCTGGGACTTGCGGTGGCTGCTCTCGTCCACATCGGAGACACGGCGGAGGACCCAGTAAGCTGGGTTATCTGCTCGGACTCCAGGGCAGCACTGACGCGACTGGCAGAGCTGGAGAGGGCCCCACCACTGGCCAGAAGAGTTGCGATGACGGCGGGACGTCTGTCGGAGCAGGGCCACTGCCTGAACTTCCAATGGGGGCAGGCGCACTGCGGGATTGGAGGCAACGAGGCGGCCGACACCCTGGCTGACAGAGCGCCAAGGTTGGGCAGGAATACTCAAAAATGTATTTGGAAATACAAATACTGGGATACATTAAAATAGTAGCTAAAATACTGATACTGAGATATATTTGTAAAAGTGTATCGCGATACGTATCGGAAATACATTTTAAAAAGAGGCAAAAGTATTTGGAAATACAAATACAATAATACGTTTTAGGGAGGGCAGAAATACAAATACAGAAATAGTGATACTGCAATACATTTTTAAAATTTGTTTGAGACGCCTAATGAGATGAAGCTTGAAGTTGGAGGTTGAAGTTTTTGATCCTGAAATTACTTTACCGTAGGCTTGGCACTTTGCCTTGAAAGTAGTGATTTCGGACGACGAGGAGTCTTCAGTGGGCTCAAAAAAACGTTCCATCAAGGACTGACCGCGGTCCCTTCCCTGACATCCTGTCTGTCTGATGAGGGATGCGAAGAGACTTCGACCTCTAAATAAATTATATGTCATCCTAAATCACTACGCCCCTGTGCACTAAGGACGCCCCTGTCAACATTTATCACATGACGTCACGGTGGAATGAACTGGCATTCTTTACCTGTAGGTGTGGCCTTGAACATGAAACTTTAGCACGCTGCTGTATGAAAGGACAATACATACTTTCGTTGTAGGTTACCTCGTTGAAGATCCAGCAGGCAGTGTCATTTGGATTTTTCGAGAATAGTGGACTACCCCAAGCAACCTGGAACACCTGTCTTATCTTCTCTTACGGTTGAAAAAACGATACGGTGGCATCCCTCTCGTAAAGGTCTTTCCTGTCGGCCCTCTGCCACCGACGCATGGATTGCAGTTCTCAAGTTTGGTCTTGCATACTCCAAATAGAAACTTCATGGATTGCGACCTGATATTGCCGGCAAAAGTGCGAGTACTCCGAGAAATAACGAGCTCGAGACGAGTCGCAGGTGTACGAAGTCTGGGTCGGCACAGCGAGGCCACGTCTGACTTCCTTCCTGGGTTTTGGACCACCAGAGCAGCAGGTTACTTTCACGTCGGCTGATGACGTACCCTTAAGCCGTGCAATATTACGGGGGCAGCCGCAGGCGCCTTCGAATATGTGTTGAACTTCACTGCGTGAGTCATCCTACTATTTCAAGTGAACCACCGCCAGGCTCTTGCTGCAACAGACTGTGAATCAGCTTTGCCGGCCGGGTGTACTGCGCACGCTAAGGCAAGAGAGACGGTTAGCAGCGGGCATTGGATGTCAGCAAATAATAACTAAAGAAATTCCTACCTAAGGACCTGCGACAGAAGATGCTCTGACTCCACTCCTGGCATGCCACCTAGTTCGAGTCCCCGACTACGCAATACTTCTCAGAAATGAGAAGAGGACGCATAGGAAAATAGTTTGGAGAATCGTTAGGAACCTTGGTCAGTATGGTAACAATTCCCCAGCGCCTCCTTGGCCCTGGGGCCCAGAAGTAAAAACAAATGCGTTGGATTGTCTCTCCGGTGGAGGGGGGGGGAGTTTTTCTCAAGAAATGTAACGAAATACATTTCAGCCTGATTGTATTGCAATACAAAGGAGCATTCCAAATGTATTCCGATACAGGAATACAGATACTGGCGAAAAATATGTATCGCGATACAGAAATACAGATACGAAATGTATTTCTGAAATACTATCGCGATACATTTGTATCGCGATACTGCCCAACCCTGCAGAGCGCACGACGGGGAAGGCGTTCCGGTGATCGGGGTCGCAAAGTTTGACGATGCCAAGCTCCTGGTCGCAAGGAACACCGCGGCACGGCACCCGGACGATCGTCTGGCAGCGGGAACAGACCGGCCAAAATTCCCCGTTCCCTGGGAAGACAGACGGCTGCGATCGTGCACAAACTCCGTACGGGGAGCGCCTGGACGGCTGAACAACTTCACAGGTTTAGACGGCGTGACGACCCGAACTACGACAGCTGCGCAGAGCTCGGGGATGCCGAGCACACAGTCCTGGGATGCCGGGAATACTCCGAGGAGCGGGAAACGATGCTGGAGACATTCCGCTCACTGGGGCTCCCAACCGAAGCACTTGAAGAAATCCTCAGACCCACAGGACCTGCACAGGAGAAAAAGAAGGCGCTCAGGGCACTCATAGATTTCCTGGTAAACACAGGACTCACCGAAGTGCTGTAGGAGAGCGACCATCGGCGAAAACTGCACTGGACGGCCGCACGGACGACCGAGCGCGGAGCGAACCTGACAGGCCGGCGACGAGGGAACAAAAGACCACGCCAGACAGGAAACAAGGCACCCGGCTGCAGAGGAGATAAGCAAGAGCCCCCTCGCCCCCAACAAGCACAGCCAGGCTGCAAGAGATGGGAGAGAGACACCGAGCTGCCTGCACCGCGACCTCCTCTCCCAACCGGACCCAGAGGAGAGCGCAAGATGGAGGCCGAGGGCGGACGACGGCGGTCGGCCTCCCCGACACGAACAAGCACAGCCGGGCTGCAGGAGATGGGAGGGAGAGACCGAGCTGCCTGCACCGCGACCTCCTCTCCCAACCGGACCCAGAGGAAAGCGCAAGATGGAGGCCGTAAGCGGATGACCGGCGTCGGCCTCCCCGACACGATGGGGGCACCTCCTTCCCCTCGGTTGCCAGACGCGCCATGGCGAGGATAGCTGTCCGCCCCTCCACCAGCTGGCTGCGGTCGGCTGGCCGAGAGGTTCTTCTCCCTCCCGCTGGGAGCGCTACGGGCGCCCGCAGGCGGCGGGGGTCGGGAGCGCTCCGGTACCCCCCACAACCGAATAACAGCTCCGGCGCGCGTCGAAGAGACGGTCTCTTCGAAGCGCCGGCGCAGCAAAGTTGATGACTCCCTCCACACGGCGCGGTCGCCCCCGGAGATCGCCTTGATCTCCGGACACCGCGCGGTGCCAGCCACCAGAGCTGGAGCCCCTTTTCCCTTCCCCCACTATTAGTTGAGCGCGTTCATCGGACGAAGAACTGGCGAGCTGCGAGACGGTGAGACAGCCTTCCTGACGCCCAAACCCTTTTCTATTTCTATACCCGTCCCACCCACTCACCCCACTATTCTCCCCTCACCCTATCCTCAAGAGTCAGTGACAAATGCGCCTCGTGCGCGTACAACTTTGACTATTTTTCCTATCCACAATTTATTTTTCAACGCTTACTACTACTACTACTGGCAGTTCGTCGTCAGGAGTCGAGGTGTGTTGCTGTTCGCTAGCTCTCTCGTTTTATTGTCCCAACGTTTCGGAATGGCCCATACGAAGCAGACCACCATCAGCACGGGAGGAAAAGCGCCGCACAAGCAGCTGGCTACGAAGGCCGCCCGGAAGAGTGCTCCTGCAACCGGTGGAGTCAAGAAGCCGCATCGCTACAGGCCGGGCACGGTGGCGCTGCGTGAGATTCGTCGTTACCAGAAGTCGACTGAGCTGCTCATCCGCAAGCTGCCCTTCCAGAGGCTAGTGCGGGAGATCGCGCAAGATTTCAAGACGGACCTCCGCTTCCCGAGCTCGGCTGTAATGGCCCTGCAGGAGGCCAGCGAGGCCTACTTGGTCGGTCTCTTTGAAGACACCACTGAGCTGCTCATCCGCAAGCTGCCCTTCCAGAGGCTAGTGCGGGAGATCGCGCAAGATTTCAAGACGGACCTCCGCTTCCCGAGCTCGGCTGTAATGGCCCTGCAGGAGGCCAGCGAGGCCTATTTGGTCGGTCTCTTTGAAGACACCAACATCTGTGCCATCCATGCCAAGCGGGTAACTATCATGCCTAAGGACATCCAGCTGGCTCGTCGCATCCGCGGTGAACGCGCTTAATGTCGCTTCTTTGGAAGCGGCAGGCAAAGCCACAAAAACGGTCCTCTTCAGGGCCACATCAGACATGCTTTTCGGACATGTGTAAAGCGACGTCCTCCCGTGTCTCAATCTCCGATGCTGACTTGTTCCAAGTGCAGGAGTTCAAAAGCTGTGAGTACTTTTTATTTATTCTCTCATTTTGAACTAGTTTACATGGTGCCAAGTCCTCCGGGTAAAGATGTCGCTGGTCTGCCGCTGGCGTGGCCTAAGAAGAGGGGAGGAGCCTTGGAGAGGGGAGGGTGAGGGGCTATTGCGGAGCGCCAATGGCGAGGTGCGCGGAGGGGCGCGCGCCGGGTAGCAGGCACGGAGGCTGTGGGTTCCTATTTTAGTTGCTTTGTCGGAGTACAGATGGCGCTAGGATGCGCTGTCGCGTGGAGTGGGGAAGACGGGGCAGACAGGCGCAGCAACGACGCGGACACCTCTTTAAGTTGCTTTGGCAGAGTACAGATGGCGCTACGAGCGGCGCAGTGCGCTCGTGACGGTTGTGCGCCTTCGCGCTACGCGTTGAAACGGGCGCACTGTCGCACTAGCGACGTCGGCATGTTGTCGCAGCCCTGTCGTGACGGCTCTTGCGGCGCGCCGCCGTGTTTCGCTTGCTTTTGACGGCTCTGCGCTCGGTCGCGCGTCGTCGCTCTCTGGGCGCCCTTATGGCCCTGGTCACTTGATGAACTCGCGCTCACTTTTCTGCGCGCTTTTAAACTGCAGATGACGGGGCTCTGTAGCGCTTTTGAGTGTACACATTTGAAAAGTGATGGCAGTGAGCTCTTGTGAAAGTAATTCGGAATACAGAAAACAATCCATGATTGATAGACCGTTTGACGTCTATTTTTAGGTTACTGGTTGTCGTATCAATACTGCTTTTCTTCTAGCAGTCTGCTAGCTGAAAGGCTCAAGACAAACAAAGACAGCGCACTGGGTACTTGACCTCTCACTAAAGTAGATGAAAGCGAGGAACAGAAATAACTCTCGAACGGTAATAAAGTTGTTATTTTTGCATGAAAAAGCAATGCTTGTAAATTGCGAAGGGAAATGAATTTCCTTATCAGATATTCCTGCTTTCTTTTCACAAATTTCTTCTTCTTTTCGTACGTTTGTTAGTTTGTGCACGGGTATTGTGACCCAAAATTGGAGCGAGCAAGCCAAAATGCACTACGGCGCAAAGCAGCAGGGACTGGGTTAAAGAATTTTACATATATCCAATTTTTTGAACTGCACAATTTGTTGACATCTCTCACCCACCGTCATACAACTTCTCACTCGGTGTATCAATAACATAAAAAAATACATTAGAAATATTTCCACTTCTGTAGGTGATGAACCCAGTATAAAAGGCTCTGGATCAACCAATCGTGCGAGCACAGAAATAGAAACCGGAGCAGCTATCATCCAAGCATTTCAAACTTCGCAGTGTAGCAACTGCTGCCAGGCGAAAACAATAAAAATAAAGGAACAGCTGCACTACGCGAAAAACTGGCTCCCACGCCACAGTGCCCGATTGGAATTTTTTTTCGCGGTGGTGCTTAGATACGTGTTCCCCACCAATACAAGCCTCGTCATCGTCCGTTCATTAGACCTAAGATATAGAATTTATTGAGGTTTTTTGTGTCTTGTTTTTGTTCCCGAAATTCCTGTCAACGTGCTCTTGGCATTACTTGACTGCGCGCTGGGCAGGGGACGTCGCGGTGTTACAAAGTCCCTAGATAAGAGGTTCCTACTAGTTGCGACATTTCTTGGGGCACCGACTGCGTGGCGGAGCAGTTTTAAGAAAGCGAATGGCGGCGCACAGCAGAAGACTGAACGGAATGGCGCCATTTTGTTCCAGTGGAATCTGCTTCGTCATTTGTATACTTGCCTTGAACGTACGTCACATGATGAGGTAGAACACCGGTAACACCCATGGTGGTGGTTGAGTCGATGGTGATTCGCGGCAAGAGCCTTGGTAAACTGCGCCGCGCTCGGTTGTAGCAATTGCTAAGTGCCCCGCCCAGCGTTTCGTCGGCATGCCCCACGACAGAGTAATCATCAAGTTATAAAAAGTACAAGCAGCAGAAAAGGAATGCGGGCGCGCATTACTGAGTTTGCAGACGGATTTCATAGCGGCGAGCGACGCACTTTTCTTCCGTTGTTTACGTTGGTGCACACCTTTGCATCTGCCTTCACCGTTCGTCCTGTAGATACCGTTGGCCTTTCGTTTCATTACGCCGTTTCCACGCTTCAAGCGCACATTTGGGCTGTGTGCCCGGCCAGACGGCGATCGGTCAGCGGCGCCGCTGTGTGCTCGCTCACAGAGACGCCGCCGCCGGGGCATCGGCTTGTGCCGTCTGCGACGCGATAACCTTTGCAAGGAGCGAAAGTGTGCACGTGAGCTGTTTAGGAAATATAATTTAAACCTTGATACAAGGAGAGTCGTCTTGTTCAGTATTTTTTTCTCCATTTTTCAGGGTTTAGATTATGACGGTAACCTTACTTTGCTTACCAGTACTTCGCAAGATCGTAAATGTTTTACTACAAGCGGCTCCTTGAGCCGTCCGTCACAATTGAGGGCGCGCAATGAAAACAAAAAACTTTTTTTTGCCGACAGGATGGTTTTTTTGCGTCAAAACTTCGTTGGCGGCATATGGAAACGTTTTGCTCATAGCACAATCGCACCCACGCTAGCAGCCGCCTGCCGCTTCTTTTATAACCTCACATTTCTCCATATCGCTAGCAGGGAATCCCGATGGACAATGCCCCGGCCAAAGCGATAGGGCCATTGTCTCAACGTACAGCTATGCCTTTCCTTCTCCCTCAAACACCGCCATTCGCGTTAACCACACCCGCGCCGAGGGGCCAGACGTCCTTCGTCGCTGTGTCGCCATCGAAGTCCGGACGGAGGAAGAGGATAATCCATGCGGTAAGGTATAATCCCACAAACGCGCCAGAAGCAAGGAGAAGGCGAAATCTCTCCAAGGCTGTCGGGACGAACTTCGACAGTCAACTCAATAATCCTTCGTTGGAGGCCACGTTGGCGACCCCAAGGCGCCTCTCGCTTTGCTTTCGGGCACAGCTGACCGGAGCCATCTGCATATTTGTGTACTCTTGTCCCCGGCCACTTAATAAACGTATCCGGTATGGGCGACAAAAAATAATAAAACGCTTCAACCTGTAAATAGTAAAAAAAAAATAGAGGGGCGGCAAAACGAGAATGTGTGACGGCTACCACTTATATCCTAAATATATTATATTGGCGTGGCGACGGCAAAACAACGTTTTCGCCGATACTGGGGCGCCCTTGTGAAAAGTGTCTGTGCTCCATTTCATTAAAACCGTGCAGTACAGCCAAAGTTACAGGGGAGAGAGCATGTGCCAACCTGTTCACGAGGAGGAAACGGGGGAACGGGATTCCCTCCTTCCCCCTTCCCTCCTCTTAAACAGGTCAGGGGTACACTCTCTCCTGCAGCTTTGGCTGTACTGCACAGTTTTAGTGAGACGGGTTATAGTCACGCGATAACGCAGTGCATGCGCACTTAATAATACTAGTAATAATACAATTAATACTATAATAAATATAGATTTTTATTCATAGTAATAAACAGATACAAATACAGGTCTGCGTGAGCCAAGGGAGGCTTATGTTGCATGACCTTGCGTACAGCCCACTCCTTGCAGAAATAGCAGGTACAACATAACTCACTAAATATCAACTGAGGATTTATCACTTGGTGATATCATGTAATACATTTTTTCATACTCTTTTTTAACCCATGGTTAGAATAAGTTATCTGGTAGCTCATTAAAAATCTTTGGCACGTAAAATTACCTAATGCTTTCCCCATAATGAGTATAGATACGAGGAATTTCAAAGCCGAGTAGTGTTCTAAATATACGTGGGGCCAAACTCTCAATTCTAAAATCAGTGGATCAAAAGTGACAAAAAACAACCGCCTGAATCATACCCAGGATTCGAGGACACGAGCGCGCCGACACTACTTCCGCCATCTATCGGCAGCAGTGGCGGGACGGCCCGTAACTCAATGGGACGAACTATATATTTTTATTTCACGAAATTCTAAGCGTCGCATTATTTTGCTCTCAGCGACCTTTTTTAGTATATACCCTTTTTGTTCATTGTGCTAAATTTAAGGACCGTATGTCTATGATAAATAGAGCCAACTGGCAATCGGAAAAAATGCATTATCCTTATGGGGGTACTGTGATTTACTGAGAAATATTTGAGTTCAAACTTGATTTACAAACTAACCACTCCGTATCGCGAGTTGCTCTCTACGGTTATATAAGCTCCAGTTCCCCAGCTACATCATGGTACTATTTTCTTTGCGATCCGATAATTCTACGAAGTACCCTCGTCATTAAAAGAACAAAAGGCAGGGCTCTCCAAATGAATTCAGGGCCATTTAGAGCAGCAAAAAGCTGTTTCTCGCGCATAATGACAAATTAAATAAATTAATCTTACCATGTATACTACATGATAAATGTGCATCATTCATTCCAAGCACATATTTACCAAACCCCGGGGTTTGAACCCTGAGTTCCTGAATAAAAAAAATATAAATGATATTTGAATTAGTTTTACGGTGGGGCAAGAACGTTCCTCCGGAAAGTAAAAGCATTTCTCTGTAAGGAAGATACGATATTACATCTAATTTCTCAAATCAAGGTAAAAAATATATATGTATCAAGCAGCACTAACGCCACGCACACGAATAGAAAAATTATTACGCGGACTTCAACCAAGCAGTTATAATAATGATGTGATTTTAAGTGCACTTGAGAATACATTTTTGACTTGCCGTTCTTGAACGAGTTATTTAAATATGATCTTAATATAATGTATTAGAATTCATCTTAATCCTTTGGGCATACTCAAGACAGAAAATGAGCAGCGTGTTATGAGCTGCGCTGGGTATTTGTTTGAGATTTTTAAACCCTTTCGTAGGTACAATATGTCCGATGATCACGTG